CAGATATATGGAGCGTTAGTTAGGTGGGTTAGTGGGGATCGTTGCGATTTGCGGGAATCAGTGAGTGATCAGGAACTACCAGCGCTTACCCGACAGCCGTAACAAACAGAAGTGGGACAAGGTCCTCGTGATGGCCGAGAAGCGTTGCAAGAAGGTATAGAATGGTTGTCGATAGTGCCAAGAAGTGTATCCAGTAGGGGCTGTGATATCCCCCAACACTGTCATAATCACCATAACACTATAGTAAACTGATATATTATCGCACTATTAGACAGATCGGAAATTATATTTATGATCAAATCTTATTGCTGCCTGTCTGCGTAACGTAATCTCATGCTGCTGCTGATTGACGATTTACCATAGTAAGCGGTTGTTGAAGGCAATCGAGGCCTTCTGGTCTTGAGCTTCGTGACATGTATATGGGGCTTGTGTTGTTATATATGTTATCGTGACTTTAGGATCATCCTAGCCCGTCCCTGGACGAGACTCAGATGGTTGAAAGTGATCGCGTTCTTGGGGTAGATCATTCGAGTGTGGGTGTAACGCCCAAGCAAGGAAGAGATCACGGTGGGTATATCGTTGAGTATTGCCTCCGCTTTGTTTGTATACCTGCGACTGCAATCAATCCGTTTATCATTGCGTTACCAGGTAGCCGAGAAGCTCTTACTAGGGCATCTAGTCCCGAGGAGGCGCCTTGGTTTACTACGGGGCATTTTCACAGCACCATTGGGGTGAATCTCATGGCCAGTTGAGATGAAGGCATACAAACGATGTTAGGTATCACCAGTGCCATCCCCATCTGTGTGGGCCAGAAGTAGCCGCAAAGCGTCTGGGGACGCATGAGTCCGTCCCTGTGGTGGGATCAGCATAGCGACAGCTAAGCTGACAGCCCACGGTTAATAACGGGCTCGGTCTCCTCTCAATTACATTTTCCATGTCCCTCGAGCCAATGCAAATTACCGTTTACGAACAACTCTAGCATATCGAACAACCGTTAACTAACTGTGTGAGGAAGAGAATACTGTCATTGCTATCGTCTTTCGTTGAACCTGCCTGGCTCGGCCTCGAGGGGTACATCCAACAAGTGTGCCACTCGGAAGGAATACTGTTCGCCTCGCTACTGCTACTGCTCATCTGCTCACAGGAAGTAGTCACACAAATCCCTATCAATAATATTACACTGTAAGTTCGTTCGAGCCCTGATGACCTCGCATTAGCGATGCCCTTGATGAAACAACTGACTCTTAGGTACATTGCGTTGTATCTCATGTTGTGGTCTTTGCTTCTGTGTCGTTGGTGGTGAACCTCTGGCTGCTCTGCCTCCGCTCAGCCGTCCCGGGATGAGTATGTGGACGTGCCTGCCTATTGACGATGGCTTACAATGAGACAAGGATACAGCTGATTGTTTGCTGTCAGTCATGGCTGATGTCATTCTTTGAGCTGCCCGTTGACTGATCTCTCATCTGTACCTTTGAACCTTTTTTCATGAGTAACCTCTCTTCGTTTACAATCCTTACTACCGCTTAGTAGAGATAGATGAGGCGGTCACTGTAAATTGCTTTCTCTATGTTGTATATCTGCCCGGGGGAGATAGTGGTGGTCCTCACCCGTCAAGTGGCAGTTGTATTGCGGTTGTCTTCGAATCTACGATTGATATCCCACGGTCACACTCCTCCCCTTAGAGACCGTGCCCTCTTGCTCCATCGTCACTTCATCAGCCTCACTGCAGGAGATATGTGGTTGTTCTTTGAAGGCGTTCGTTATGCTTGGAAGTATGATAACTCAGGTTTGCCTGTAAATGCTATAGTTGATATATGCTTGTGTACGTAAGAGTATTGTTGCGTATCCTAGTTGGGAAGGCGAACATACGCATATACATCAAGGCAGGAGACACACAGAGCTTAGTCAGTGCTCGTTCTTCCACGCTCATTCTCGCAGCGTGTGATGCCATCTGAGATCCGTCTGTGAAATGAGAATTCTTGCGGTCAACAAGTATTGGAGGGGTAGCACGGCGTTGAAGTCGGATTCAGCTCGGAAGGTGGTATTTTGAGCTCGTGCTTGGTGAGTCTGAAGTCCAGCGCCGTTGCCAGCTTACTCAGGGTTGGAGCGATATGATAACGATATCTCGATAGTGAGCTGTGCGTTGAGTTTTCTGGTTAGTCCAGGAAAGGTGAACATCGTCACAATGAATGAACTCGTCACAGTGATTGAAAATGTTTATACTTTCGAACTTGGGACTACCACAATCTAACGATGCCAGTCTGACCAAGCCGGCGACGGCATCGGGCTTGAAGCTGACACACACGAGCCTAACGACATTGGTCTCCACCCTGCATACACCGTGCTCAGCATGACTTCAGAAATAGGTGGTTCAGGAACTGCTCCGTCCAGCATCCACCCCGAGTACATTGTACTCGGTACAAGCGGACCCTTGACATAACAACCTCGACCACACTCTCAGACTTACAAAAAGGTGCCGACTCCCTCAGTCTGGCTGGGAGCTTGGCCCTGCACAGGGAGGCTCTGAGCCGTCACCTGGCGGGCCAACTCTAGGAGACTTCGACCACTACTTCCCGATCTCTGCAACTACCTCAGTGATTAGCCTACTTCAGGGAATCGCCAAGGCTGCGCTGCTCGGTACCGGGGGGATCCGGGGGGCCTACTACAGCTCTACGAGACTGGGACCATCACTATCACACGCATCTATCAGGGACACGCATCAGCGCTAAATCAAGAGAACACGAGGGGGAAGCTCCCGATTAAGCCAATGTTCAACACAGGTGGTTCCTTCCAATAGGAGTACATTCAACGAGGAATGGTATATCAAATGCGGACAAAAATGAAGCTTCACTATTATTATTCCCGAAACCTTCAAAGAGGAGCGGTACGATGACCGAGAAATGTGGTGTCGCGGCTAGCGTTTGTGAGGCGTTCAACGACGATTGGTATGAGAGGTTCCAGCCACGATAGATCATTACGAAGGATGATGACTCACAGTTCAAGATTCAAGACGAACGAAATATCCCGTCAACAGCACCTTCCAGCGATGAAACAGATGTCTATTTTCTCCTCGTGTTGTTTTCTCTCCCAACTCCCAATAACGCAAATCTGATCCAATTGGTCGTGCTACACGGTTTGTGACAGCCCTTTCCAGGCGTCGAATGTTAAAGAATAAACCAGTAATGTATAGAACAAGGAACTCGAATGAGTAAAACTGCGTCTAAGTTCGCAGATAAGTCAACCATCAAAAGACCTTACTCTATCATCAAGGAACAAACATCTTACACAATTTAGTAGACGTAGTTCTTGACATAGTTAGACTCGTTAGCAGTAGCATCGGAAGAACCCTGGTACTTACCGAGCTGAGCCTCAGAGTTGGCCTTGGCGCGGGCGAGCAAGACAGCCTGGGCAGCCTCGGTGTTCTCGGCCTTACCAGCCCAGGTCTTGATAGTGGAGGCCTGAAGGGCGCGACCGTAAGAGAAGGTGAGGGCCCAAGGGCGACGCTCCTTAGGGAGGACATTCATGGCGTTGAGGTTGACGGAAGCCATCTCCTCAGACTGACCACCGGAGAGGAAAGTCACGCCAACGAGGGCCGGGGGGACAGTACGGGCAAGGGTGCGCACAGTCAACCTGGCGATCTCCTCAGAGGTAGGGCGAACAGGGCACTCGGCACCGGCAGTGACCATGTTGGGCTTGAGCAAGCAACCCTCAAGGAGGATGTGATGGTCATTGAGGGCCTTGAAAACGGCGGAGAGGACACGCTCGGTAACATAAGCGTCAGTCTCGATAGTGTGAACACCATCCTGCAAGATCTCGGGCTCGACGATGGGGACGAGACCGTTCTCCTGGCAGACGGAGGCATAACGGGCAAGGTTGTGGGCAGTCTCCTCAATAGAGAGCTGAGTAGGCTGGTGCTTGGCCTCGTCGATCCTCAAGACGGTTCTCCACTTAGCGAAACGGGCACCCTGAGCGTAATACTTCTGGCAACGCTCAGCAAGACCATCGAGACCCATAGTGGTGGTCTCGCCATCGGTACCGGCGAGAACGGTGAGTCCCTTATCGACCTTGATACCGGGGATGATGTTCTGCTTCTTCAAAAGCTCGACCATCTCAACACCCTCGGCGTTCTTCTGGAAGAGGGTCTCCTCGTAGAGAATAGCACCGGAGATGTACTCACCGAGACCAGGAGTGGTGAAAAGGAGGGACCTGTAGGCAGCACGGTTCTCCTCGGTGTTGACGATGCCAGCGCCATCGAAACGCTTCTTGATGGTGCCGGTGGACTCATCGGCGGCCAAGATACCCTTGCCATCAGTGCAGATAGCATTGGCGGTGGCGATGAGCTCAGACTCGTACTTGAAACCGGTGGTGTAAGGCATGGTGAATGGAACGAATAAGTGATTGACTTGTGAAAGCCTGGAAGGGTGAAAGAGCTATAGCGCGTGCAAAGCCAATCGGAAATCGCGCACGGATTTTTGATCTATAATTGCGCATTTTGCAGCAGAGGAGCTCTGCCAGAACTCTCGTTTCCGCGAACGCGATGGAGTAGCAACGAGTGATCGAGGCTTCTGAATGTTTGAAATTCATGGTTTGAGATGAAACTCATAGCCGTTCGCATTCCTAAACCTGCAGTGCGAGGTAAGGTGGGATAACGAACGCAGGAAGGCCGAGGAGACAGGACCACACAACCGCTTATTGCGGTTGGAATCCAACCGTTGGGTCCATGAAATAGGTTCCTTCCGTCGCGGTAAGTATATAGGACTCATCTGCAGATCAATACAGGATCCTATGAGATGCATCCAGCATCGATCGGCAATAGGAAGTTTTCACTCCGAGCGTCAGATCCTTGCCTGTGCGATGAGTACATGAGAGAGAAACACGGTACGGTTTCTTGGCGGAGAAATTCCCCAGCTGGGGATCGTACCACCATCCCCGATAAGAGGGAAAGTGTGCGACCTAGCGGAGTACCCGTGAGGCGAGCGCTAAACAACCTGTTGTGTTGATGTAAGTGAGTGCTGCAATGATAGAACTGGCAGACTCCAAGGACTGCTGTAGGGATGTGGAGCACCCCAGCAGTACGATTTTTTTTTCTTACCCTTGATACTGGGGGACTAGAGATGAGGCAGTTGACTCTGTGACTAATGCTCGGATAGCTTATTCACATCAGTTCGCTGACTCATCCTCTGGTCAGTATTGCCCAACCCAGACCTCGGCTTCCGGGCTTCAGGTTTGAGGTTTGGTCAATACCTCTCCCATCCCCGGCGTCTATGGGATTTCTTTGCTGATAAGCACCAAACTATGCATATTTCGTCATCAGAGATTCCCGCTCGCCATCAATCTCAGCCGTTTCATACACACAACTGATCCACTTGAAACTTCCAATGGCTTCAGTTGGGAGTGGTTTTTGAATTCCCTGTGCGCGCACGGCGAGTCATGATCCCCTCAAAGTTTGTGGTGGAGAGCAACGATGTCGCCATGTGCCTTGCAACAGGCAGATATAGACTGAGCCTCTTGTAGTGACATGTGTAGGGTCAACCTACACTCTGTTAGGGCTGATGGGCATTCATGATTCATTTTACCTCGTCCTTCATTTACTGGTCTTCTGTTGAGTTCTAAGCTGATCAACCATACATATATTCAGCCTTGAAGAGCTCGTCGAATTGCTCACAAATCTGACCTCACTAGTATCAGAATTTTGGAACCTACGTTCGCGGTCTCTGGGGGGTTGGGGATGAGGGGTTGGTAGAGAAAAGGTGTCCAACCGTTCCGGGTATCTTCTATTCAGCGTCTAGTTCGACGCCCTATTCCCTCCGAGAAGTAGGGCCAGTTGCACCGTCACTTCTTGAACCTTGGATGTCCGACAAGAATGCTAATTCTGCCTCGGATATGTCCGAGCAGGAACGGAAGGAGGCCTTCAACAGAATGCTAGAGGAATATGAGATTTCCTCCAAGTAGGGCGGAAATGTTCGCCATACGCAACGGATCAATCTGACTATCAGGATGAAGTGGCACGAAGTTGAGAAAATCATTAAAGACGATTGGCGCTTTGGACTGTGCAGAAACAACGGTATTGAGCTCGGTATCATTTATGCTGAAGTGAGAGCTGTCTTTCAGGTCAGCGAAAGCAGTTCCTTTCCGAGTATCAGAGCCGACGCGTTAAGTTTGAACAGACTGAGGGTCGTCATCGAGAAATGGCCGCGAAGAAAGAGTTCAGAGTAAGGAAGATTGGCGTCTCTCTGAAGGCATCAACGGTATATGGATTAGGAGCAATTGGAGCAGTGGCTGAACGCACAGAAGGAGGAAGAGGCGGAGGCTCAGAAGAAGGAGGCCGAAGTCGTGAACACCGAAGTCCCTTCTATCATTGATGTGGCGAAGAAACCAGAGGAGGACTCGTCAGCTGCTTTGATGGAAGATGGCAGTCGTAATAATATATAATATTCGCATCTAGATCGGACATGTCCGTGGGAGTCTATGTAGAGAGGACTTTGAAATAGGGCTTGAATACGAGTGAGCCTCGTCCTTCTCGATCAGCTCTTACTTTCGAGAACGTCACGTTCCGAGATCTGGCCTATGCTTGGCGCAAGAAGGACTTCTGGAAGTTTGCTCATGAAGATGTACTAGACGGGATTGCCTCGGATGTGTCCCCAGTCTGACATTGTGGTACTTTCGATCCGATACCTCGTGAATTCTCTTAGACCTTGGTGCCGCGCAAATAGGCTCAATCCCAAGAGTCGCCGTTGGAATTTCATTTTAGGATCTCGATCATATATTCCAAGACTTCATGGACGAGAACGAGAATAAGATGCGAGACATCAGCAGACGTGATAGAATTCGGAAGATGGACAAGCTCTTCCTCGTGTACTCTAAGCATCCTCAGGTCAATAGACTAACCAAGTAAGACTTCTCACCCGTCGCTGTCGGTATTTCCCGATCAGGTGGAATGATGTCTGCCACTTCATGGCTGAGAAATTTCCGGAGGAGTTCCGCAGTGTAGAGCCGCTGGATAGACTGGCCGTCTGGGAGCGATGGATCAAGGAGGCCGATGAGAAGTTCAAGGTAATTGTTGTTAGTTCGATCAGCTGACACTGGAGTCAAACACGACTGTAGGTCGAGAGGGAGAAGGCAAAGCGTCGGGCTGAACGCAAGCATAGGGATAAGTTCAGGGAGATGCTGGTCCACGACTACATGGAGCAAATACACAGTGAGGTTCTCATGTTGACTGAGGGGGAATCTTTTGGTGCAGATGGTGTGTCATGGTTCGATCTCCATAAGGATATTAAGGATCGTGAGGCTTACATTGATCTTATCGGCAGTCGGAACTCGAGCCAGCCCTATGATATCTTCAACGACATATGCAAAGAAGTAAGGGGAAAGGAGTAGAAGTGCGAATCGTAAGAACTTGATTAGGTCCGTCGGGAGGCTCGGCAGAAGCGAGCACAGTTGGAGTTGGAGAAGAGCGCCAGGCGAGATCGGAGAGGCTCGAATCCCAGA